CATAATTGTCATAATTAGTTTGTAAATGTTTATCGTGCCTACATAACTTCACAAGTATGAATTAATGTTGAATTAATGTTGAACGTAATGTAGCTTCTTAATATTTTAAATTAAATCCACTGAGTAGACAAAAGGAGCGAAAGCGCTATAAATTAAAGTTTGAGTACTGAATCTGACTTTGGACTTTTATTTTACTAATTGATTGCAGATTTTTAGGTTAGTGGGCACATTTTTTTAAATATTTTTTTGTATTAATTTTTAAAACTTCTGAGATTAACAGGATCCGGAGGTAATAATAAAGAACAACTTATGTGAGCATATTTGTCTTTGTCTTTATGCAGCATCGCATTTCTAACTACATTACAATTATGTAAAACGTTTTAAAATCAAAGGCGATTTTAAGAAAATTTAAAAATTGACAGTCCAGAGATGTGCATAACCTGGTTTCATGTGTTAGACATCACGTTACATATAATTAATGAAGCTCCAGTTATGACAGCTACATAACACAGAAGGTATGCTCACCTTTACCACTGATTTTTTTTAAATCTGATACTTAAATGTACCTGGATCCTTCAACACCAGAATGACGGAGTCTGTGGTGATGGGTGTTGCCAATCATAGGCAATTCAAGGACAATAATTCTCAAGAAATCCTTTAACTAAAATTTTCCAACAAAAGAATTGACATTGTAAACATTAAAGGTGCTTAGACACAGATTTTAAGTTAATATTGTCTCATATTTTCTGTATAATATCACGACTTATATATTGCAATAGCATTTCACACGAAAATATAATTAAAAACTTATTTTATCTGGAAATTATTGGAACTACAAATTCCTGGACGCGTTTGATTAACACATCCTTGCACTTTCACAAATTTTATCTTTATCCTTAATATTTAAGAAAAGAAGCGATTTTGTTGCGCATTAATGAAAAACATTACATCTATAATCCAGAAAATTCAGAGTAGAATTGTGCGAAAGCAAACCCCCTCACTAATATCGTCAGTCCGTGCTCAGTGTTGTATACAGAGTTTCACAAATTGAATACACCCGTGAAACGTAAACTGTTTTTGTAAACAGGGCACGAGCTCTGTTATTGTTAATGTTTACGATTCACCGAGTGTGTTCAATTGTTAAAGTCTGCACACACCATTGAGCACGGACTGACAATACTGTGAGTGGGTTTTGCTTTCGAACATTTCTACTCTGAATTTTCTGGATTATAGTTTTAATATTTTTCATTAATACACAACAAAATTGCCACTTTTTTAAAGTATTAAGAATAAGATTAAGATTTGTGAAAGTGCAAGGATGTGTCAATCAAACGCGTCCAGAAATTTGAAGTTTCAATAATTTCGAGATGAAATAAGATTTTTATTATATTTTAGTATGAAATGCTATAGCAACATATAAGTCATGAAATTATACAGAAAATTTGAGAAAATATTAACTTCAAATCTGTGTCCAAGCACCTTTAAAGAAGTAATATTCTTAATCAAAAAAAGGCCCAGTCTTGTATTTCACCATATTTCAAGTTGAAGTCCACACCTATTTTTTAGAAATATTCAGGGATTATTGCACCCAAACTTAAATTATAAAACAAAAACATCTACAGTGCCTAGATATTGAACATATTAAACAAAATTCTCCTACGTGTTCATTTTCACCCTTCATAGTCTTGCTGTACACGTCATTACTGGTGACGAGAATGTAGTTAACATTGAAGACCATAAATCACTTATTTAAAAAAAACAAAACAAAGAAGAAGGTACGGTTTTAGCTTTATTGTGCCCTAAAAATTAAATGTTTTTAAAAAGTTTTGAAACTGGATTAATTATTAGTTAAGTATATGAATGTGATAAATCCGGAAAGAATATGGTATGAAGGAGTACCATTCTGGAGATATGAAGTCATTAATTTGAAGCATTTTTCTATTTTAAACAGGAAAAGCCTCAAAATGACCATTTTCAAGGCTATTTTCCTTAAGAAAATTGTGTCCACAGCCATCGCCCACTTTAATTTTCGGATATGTTGTGTAAAATCCTTTGAAAAATCACATATCTCAAAATCTTTGTGGGCGATGCCTGTGGACAATATTATCTGAAAGATAATTCTATTGAAAATTGGTGTCTTCTGCAACTTTTCAAGAAAATGCGGGAAAATGCACAAGTTCATGACGTCACAATTAGCATTTAGAAGGTCATGTGAGAAAAATGATTTGTATGTTCTTTCTGTATGGAATTTCAATGATTCAGAAAGCATGAATTTTAATTTTTTACATCACTTTCATTTTTAAGAAAAACACAGATTTGTATTGAAACCGTACCTTGTTCTTTTAGGGAACCCAGATCTTTCAAATGGCAGAAATTTTTCAAAAATATTATGAATTATGACAAAGATTATGCCGAGCGATGGTACGAACATGAAATAGAAGAACTTAGGCACTCTCTTGTGTGGATTAAAGTATGAGACGAATGTTGAAATCTCGTGTTAAACGACTGAGGGGCAATATAAAAACAATCAAGTGATTCAGAAGTAAACAAAGAATTACATGAACTACATGATCAATATGTACTGTTCCTAGCTGACAAAGCAAGGAACAACATGGTCTTTCTTTGTAAGGCTCAATAAGACAATTGTATTTTAGAGGAGTTTTGGAATCCAACTTAAATTCATTTTTTTTTTTTGATGAAATTCTTCAGAACCCTTTATGTCACTTTAAATAATATCTATATTCCCAACAACCAAATTGAATTCGAATTACCACACATGTATCTGTATTTACGGAAGCCGGTTGGTGCCAGGTAGAAAAAGTATTTTATCTGGCGGCCGCCACATAAATAACTGGCGGTCGCAAGAAACTTATTTGGCGGCCGCCAGATAATTATTTGGCGACCGCCAGATCTTTTTATCTGGAGGCCGCCAGAAAATTATTTGGCGGTCGCCAGTTATTTTTGTGGCGGTCGCCAGATAATTATTTGGCGACCGCCAGATAAAATAGTTTTCTACCTGGCACCTACCGGCTTCCGTATGTACTGGATTCCAAAATTTAAAAAAAAAATCCTTAAAAACAAAGATACATAGCAGGTTCTAGTAAATGTTCTCTTTCTATTTTCCTAAAGAAAATATTAACAGCAGTGAAGGAAAAACTTCAGAAGTACTGTACAATTTTTCCACTCTGACTGTTCAAATGATCGATTTAACAAACATTTTTTTTCCTTTTCCCCCTTCAAGATGATTTTTATTATGTGATATATTAAAATCGTCTGTAAAGAACTCCGAACGATAACATTGTTCTCCCGCCTACCTCCAAGTCAATTTTCAAAAGTTAACACATTTGAATGATTTTTCTTATCTATAAAGATATTTATATGAATTTTCATAAAACATTACTTCTTTGGGAAAACGAAAAGAGATAACTATAATTTTGGTAAAACTTGTGTTTTTCACTATAGAAATCAACGGAAAACGGAAATTTTTTTAGAACATCCCCCCCCCCCCGACAAAAAAAAACAAACACAAAAATGCTTATTTTTCACCAATTTCAAAGGGGTTTTACACCTAAAACATTGTATTTTTTAAGAATATATGTTTAATTTTATATAAGTAAAACATAAGAAAAGATTTAAGCTACATTTATTCATATCCAAGAATATTTTAAAATATTGTGATGCTTTAAAGCCCGATTTCAATGAAAAATATCGTCTAACCCCCTTATTTAAGAGCTGGAATTAGGGGTATAATTAACTATTTAACACTGGTATTAAAATTATCAGTCAATTAGGGAATGTTTTTAAGTTTTGTGTGAATTATTGATGTGTAAATCACACAGACTTGTCACGTAGGCATATTTCATGAAGCGCGCTAGCGTTTCATGAAAAATATGCCTACGTGCAAGTCTGTGTGATTTACACACCAATAATTCACACTAAACTTAAAAACATTCCTTATATTTACATTTTACATATTCAAAAGCACCAATAATGTACTCAATATTTGAATTTCTTGCTGCCCTATATATATCGTTACATTTTTATTTACGTCTCTGTAGCCTCATTGTGACGTCACTTTAGCGCGTGTTTCACCGTGTATATTTCTACGCGTGAGTATACACAAAAATGACTTTCAAATCCATTTCACAGTTGGCTTAATAGAAAAACACAGCAAATGTAAATATTTATCATTGAACTGTTCTTTGCACTCAACAAAGATTTTACGGCCATATTGCCATTAGTATTGAATTAAATGGATGTAAAATGTAGGCAGGAATCGAGAGTTAGTGTGCGTAGTTCTTTTGAAAAGTTCTTTATAAATATATATGTTGAATTACAGTTTGTTCTAACAGGCATATTTCATTTTTTCTACTTTGAAATTCAGTTACAAAAAGGAAGTTTACATCTTCAAATATCTTCAGATGCTTCGTACGGTCCTGTTTCGCTTATAAAGATATTTATCCCGTCGTCATTATTGTAAACCAACTATTATTCGCGTCACCTATATTCGCGATTCGTCAGTTTGAAATCAATTCGCGACGATTAATTCTCACGCCTGAGGAAACATTCTTTACAAATAAAAGGCAAAATTAATGGTTCACGGCAATTAATATTCGCGAGTTAAAGAAGGTCGCGAAACTGGTGGATATTTCTTGCACGCGAATAAAAGTTGGTTTACAGTATGTTGTGTTTAGTACACAAGAGGAGACTTAGAAATTATTGACATGTAATTACTGGTAAATGTAAAACAAACCAACATTTTCTAATTCCCCGGGAATAAACGTAGAGTCAGATATTTCATGAAGAAAAAGCAATATGAAAAGCTATTTAACAATATGAAACAGAAAAAATGTTATAATGTAGATTTTATGGTATGAATGATAACCAATCATTTTTTTCTTCCTTTTAATTTCTTCTCTCAAAATCGTGTATGAGTCATGAAGGAAGCAAAACAATGAATTATTTCCTTACGAAATGAAAAATACTTAATGTTTCAGGAAAGATCTTAGGATGTCGAACGATGAAGAGAAAGGAGAACTAACAGAGACTGACAAAAAATGCACATCAAAATTTCTGAAAGAAAAAGACCACATCATTGATCCAAATTCGAACGAGTTTGTCCCTCCTGATGGTGGATGGGGTTGGGTTGTATGTTTCACAGTCTTCCTAACTAATGGAACATTTTGTGGAATACTTAACACTTTTGGAATTGAATATGTTTACTTGATCGAGCAATATGCGAAGGGAGACCCAGCAATTTCCTTTAAAACATGTAAGTTTTTTGTTCAAATACATGAACACATTTATCTCTCTCTCTCTCTCTCTCTCTCTCTCTCTCTCTCGATTGATCGATCGATCGACTTCCAAGGACACAGACATTTTTAAAAGCGTCAAGCCAGTAACTCTGTAAAAATCTTTAAGTTAAGTTAATAGAACTGATTTTCATCTTGATAAATTTCCGGCATTTCATTACAAATAATTCCTAACATGCATTTTAGATGGACTTGTGAAGTATACCTATTTATTTGTTTTGTCTTGTTTTTTTTCAGCATGGGTAGGATCAGTCTGCATGGGTGTAACATTCATTATGTGCATTTTTGCCGGTATATGCAATGATCGTATTGGTATCAGACCGACTGCATGTTTTGGTGCAATTTTAGGAGCAGCTGGACTTTTTAGTAGCGCTTTTATCACACAATTAGAACTTCTGTATCTAACATACGGTGTTTTGCTCGGAATTGGTGGGGGGTTCATCTTTTCTACCTCCTTAGTTATACTCGGTCATTATTTTAAAAGGCATATTGGATTGGCAAACGGAATTGTTGCGTTTGGAAGTTCGAGCTATACCATAGCATTATCTGTTGTTCTTCCAATTGTTCTGGAATCGTTTGGAATCAAGTATACCTTTCTTATTCTAGGAGGATTGTATTGCATGCTTATATTCGGTAGCTTGACGTGGAAACCATTGATTCATAGAGATAAAGGCATCAACGAACAACTTTTGTCCTCAGACAAGAGTGTGATGACCCGTGAGGGTTGTTGCTCAAGGACAAATGAATACTTAAACTTGAAGATTTTTAATAATCAGGCATATCGTATTTGGTTTCTTGGATTTGTCACAGCATTATTTGGGTACTTTGTACCATTTACACATTTAGTAAGTACACAACTTTAAAAATTTAAGTTAAATAATATTTAGTGACCGGGCAATATTTATCACCAAAGTGAGACAGGAGCAAAGTATGACGAAGACGGTTCTTGTTCTTTTTTGGCCATTCATAATACTGGGGCAAGCAATTTTTTTTTTTTTTTCAAAAATAATACGTATAGATTGAGCAAACATATTTTTCTTTATAAAACTGTATGAAACAAAATTTATGACTTAAAATAACAAATCATAAATTTGTATGCAAATAGCCAATTAAGATATATGTACCTAATTTTAATATTTATATAACTGTATTTTATAACTGACTGAGAGAGCAATTCATTGTCATAATTATGTACATAGTAATTAACGACTCTGAAATATAAACCTACGAATCTTAGGTTCCTTAACAATGGTGAATTAAAAGAACATACCAATATCAAAGTCCTCTAAAAATATCAGAAACTCCACTATTTTCTAAATTAGTAGTGTTTAAAGACAAGTATTAAATAAATAAAGTACGGTTTGCAAGGTATGTACGAAAGTGCTTAGAGGTATCCCTCATCTTCCTGCAGATTCAAGATAAAATAAAGCTTATATTCCTCATTTAACCCTACTTTTATACATTTTCAGGTTGCAGATAATCCAAAATCACAATTTAAATTGCCAAACATTTACTTCTGAGATGAAGATAAATGCCAAAATTACTTGAAGTGAATGAAGTTAATACATACATGTTATAGTTACTAACCCACTCCTCTAGATGGTTGTTGCTTATAAGTGGAAACGTTATATATGTATGCATATTAATTTGAGTTTCACACGAAATGAGGATGAGCTATATATACTTTTTTCATTCTGTATGGCACACTGTATAGAACAAAGACTTTTGGATTTTTTTTCACCGGTCCTACACTGGTGAAAAATATTGCCTCGTGTCTTAATCCCGATCCAATAGAATGTGTCAATGTGAACGCAAAAACGTTTTTATGTTTTTGAGTTTCTTTAATTTTGTCAAGTATTCAAAATATGCCTATGATTAAGATAATCAGGTTTAATTCTACTGAATGAACTCTTCCTCTACATTTTTATTGCCGCAAATATTTAAAATGTAATGTATTTTAGGTAAAACATACTCAGGATATCTTTCCCAGAGAAAATGCCTTCATTCTCATAACTTGCATCCAAGTCACTTCCGGTGTGGGAAGGTTAGTCTTTGGAAAAATAGCGGATCTGGAATGTGTGAACAGAGTCTACATGCAACAGTGTGCTTTCGTTGCGATGGGCATAGTAACAGCATGTATTCCATTCTCAGACAGCTTTGAAGGACTAATAGCAATATGTCTCGTTTTAGGATTAACTGATGGTATTGTGATTTTTCTGATAGGTCCCATTGCCTTTGATATTGTGGGTCGTAAGGATGCATCACAAGCTATCGGTTTCCTGCTTGGTGGGTTTTCTGTTCCATTTTCGGTTGGACCTCCGATTGCAGGTGAGCTGTATTTCGAGAGAACACGGTGTAAATTTGTCGTATTTGAATTTAAGAAAAAGACATATACCAAGAATTAGATATGCATTAATTCTTATGTGGATTCAATTGTTAAAATAATATTTTACACAGGACGATATATTGATAAAGGCAAACGGGGTTTGTTCCTCTATCACTAAAGGGCTCAAAAAGAGATACTGTATAAACATGTTTAAACTTTTTTCCTAATGATGTTTAATTTGAATCAAAATACGAATGTCTAAAGTACTCATAAGAAGTATTTTTTCTGTTGAGTATCGTCAATAAATTCTACGCAGACGCAAGCTGTAAATAACGACATCTTCAGAAATGTTGAGGATTCTAAGGCGAACCAAACACGGTTAAATTTCACACATATGCGATTATAGTTTCAAAGTTTGTTGCTAATGCAGAGGATAAAATTACATATTGGTAAATGAATTGAAACCAATCAGATTTCAGTGTTTTACATAAACGTCTATTGATACCAAATCTAAAATAAGATGATGGTAAGAAAATAACAAAAAAGTGTGGGATTAATTTTTCAATCTTATACAAGTTGTTCTAAATAAACAAAAAGTTTTTTATAGACATAACAGTTATAAATGAATCCGCTTTCAAGATATCTTAACCTTAATACAGTTATCACTTACGGTTCATTCATTTCATTCTGGTGGACTGTTAGTCCCCGAGGGTCTCTACAGCCCAGTAGCTAAGTACTAGCTTGAAAATACGGATATATATTTAATATCTGTGGTAAAATTTAGAAATTTATTTCCAAATTAAGGATCATCTCCCTCATGCATAGCTCTGATCCTTCGACGTATTCGCTGAAGAGACATAATTTGTCGAAATGAGCATCTGGTGCATCAAAATTGGTACCATATATGATTTACATTATGATCCCTGGGTCGAGGCCCTTGCTGGTGGACTGTTAGTCTCCAAGGGTCTCTAGAGCCCATTAGCTAAGTACTTTGGTACTAGCTTGAAAATATGGATGTATTTAATTACTGTGGTAAAATTTAAAAAATTATTTTCAAATTAAGGATTATTTCTCTCATGCATAGCTCAGACCCTTGGACATATTTGGCTCCTGTCTTTGACCCCCCCCCCCCCCATCCCACCCCCTTTTTCAGCTCTTCCAAGTTTTTCAATTTAAATATTTCGGATTTCAAACGATTCGGCTAGAGCATCACTGAAGAGACATAATTTGTCGAAATGAGCGTCTGGTGCATCAATTTGGTCCCCAAGGGTCTCTACAGCCCATTAGCTAAGTACTTCGGTACTAGCTTGAAAATACGGATATATATTTAATTGCTGTGGTAAAATTTAGAAATTTATTTTCAAATTAGGCATTATCTCTCTCATGCATAGCTCAGACCCTTGGACATATTTGGCTCCAAATTAATTGTCTTTTTGTCTACAATCATAATTTCTAATTTGTTATATGCTTGCGTAAATTTTAAGTTTTGTGAAAATAATAGATCATCAAAATCTGTCACTGTATGTTCCCGTGTATAGTTTCTTATTAGCTGACCGGGGACTGGTGCGGACACCTAATTAAGGTCTATTGTCTAACCAGTTGATATACTGTACTCTGTTTATTTTACCCCGCTTCCCAATGTGTATAAATCTGGTCGGATGTCATGTTTAATCTGATCGACTGTTCATCTGAAAATTGATTTTGAAATATCAATTATTGAAGATCGACTATATTTTGATCAATTCTTACTTCTGCATTATTTTAAATAAATTCTTACTTCTGCATTATTTTAAATAAATTCTTACTTCTGCAGTATTTTAACAGAAAGAAAAAATAATGGCACTTAACCACGAATTAATTCAAATTATTCATGAAGTAATTCAATGATTGGCAATATAGTCTATACTTATATATATATATATTTTTATATCTTAAACATTTCTCTACCCAAAGAAAAATTAAGAGACTTAGAGATATTCCAGAAGAAAATGACTCTGATTACAATATAATTTCCTATGAATTCGGCAGCGGAACATGGCTCTCCTAACACTAAAGAAAAATACGTGCTTTTTTGAAAAATTAATTTATATTATGTATTTATGGATAAAAATAATTATAAAACAAGTATTCAAACAAACTTATTTTAGGTAGCGAAAATTTTAAGGCCTTTGGTGAAGTTATTCTCAGTTCCCGAGTTTATACACATTGACAAAAATGTTAGAAATAGCGAGAAAACATTATGAATTGAATAAGTATTTGCGTAAATGATATTGAAACAACTTTAAACTTAACAAGTTAGTTTAAAGACTTGATACTGGATGTGTTAAGGTGGTTTAATTAAGTTTAGTACATGTTTCACATCTCGAACAAAGGGTTTTTGCTGCCACCAAATCACTTGGTACACTCTAAACCCAAGCTTCATGGCTGGATGACTATGCCATTGTGTGAATAATTATTAAACCTATCATTATCAATGATAGATTACAGTCATTGACACAGGGCAAGGTCACTAAACAATGAATGTTGGATCTGATGTGCCAAACAGTCAATAAAATATATTGAATTAATAAAGGAAAAAAGATCTTTTTCCTTCCCTTGTCTTTCTTTCTGAATTAATCATCTATAGCCAAAATTAAAACATTAAAATTATACAGAAATTTAAGAAAAGTTTAGTAATTATTTGAATATTAAGGATTTAGCAATAACACCATTATAACTTACAACTAGAATTATATTTCATCAAAAAGTGCAAAAAAAAAGGTTACTCACCATCTTGCCTTTGATTCTAATTAACAGATTAAGAGGACACAGCAAGAAGTCAAAATTTGATTTTTTTGCAAAGTTTAAATACAGGGATATTCCTATATTGCTCAAGTAGTGTGTAAACTTTCCCTGTAATTGTTGTACGCCGAGACAATCCAACCATATAAAGATTTTTTCCCTTTTTTCTGTTTTCGTTTTCTGTGGAAATCTGTGCTTTTCAAGAGCAATTTATCCATTTTACCTCCAAAAACAAATCTTTACTAATTTCCACAAGTCCCCTGACTTAAATCCCATAAAAATGACATGAATATATTTTGAATCTATAGAAATGAACCTTATTGTGTTTGAAAACTACTCACTGTAGACTGTCATCTGACCTGTTGCAGACAGGTATATATTACCCTGAGGGGTATAATTATCACATCTGGGCCTGTACAAAATGGCAACAGTCAGAATCAAATCATCGTTATCTTGATTAAATAACAAGTAAAACACAAAGAATTGTAATGAAATAGATACAGACACAAAAGGTTTAATTTCTCGTGTGAAACATGTACTAAGTATGTTGTTAAACTTTTCCCCTCGCCATTCGATTTGGTCCCTCGCTTCGCTCGGCACCAAATCTCATGGCGCTCGGGAAAAGTTTACCAACATATACTTGGACATTAAGCCACCATTAAGCTTCAGCTTAAAGGTGGCTTAATGGTAGCTTAATGAAGTTTGGACATTAAGCACCTAAAAGCTGCGGTTTAATGGTGGCTTAATGGTGGCTTAAAGGATTAACTTCTATAAGCCACAATTAAGCTACCATTATCAAAAATAAATTGGTAGTATTTAGAAGTTTATGATTCTAGCATGTCAGATTTAAGAACATGACATACATGCCATTTCAGGTTTCATTTACGACCATCTTAACACCTACGAAATAGCGTTTGTTGCTGCTGGTCTTCCACCCATTTTAGGAGCCATAATAATGTGCTTCATACCGAGATTACAGAAAGTAGGATATTTCTGTTTAACGTATCGTCAAGTTTTGTATTATTTTAGCACTACAAAATATATCAAACATAGCAACATAAAAAAAGAACCTTTAAAACAAACATTAGTTCAATATTAGTTTTGAAACACCTATTAGCATTTATACTTAAGTCAAACAGTGTATATTGCATATCTTTACCTTTTCTATCTATAAGAGATATTCAATAGTATAATCAAGTTTTGTAACTGAGATTATTTTATAACACCGAAATTATTTTTTGTCTTTTTAAAAAATATAGACAATCTATTACAGAATAAAAAGGTCTCAACAGATCAAGATCTCGAAGGTGAAACTGTCTTAATGTTAGATGATTATCCTCTACAAAAGAGTGGGTCAGGTAATATAATTATATAATATTAAAAAATACATATATTTCCACAAAAATGAATAAAATCAGTATGAATCTTTTACATATGCGCATTGGGGTTTATACTTTTTTTTTATACCGTATCATATTTTATTCCTGATATGTTTTAATTATCATATTTAATTTATGATAGGTTTAATTATCATATTTAATTGATTATTATCGAAGTTCGTTACATATAACTGTAGAACGAGGAAATATTCTTAAAACGAAACAGAACATGCTTTAATAAGAAAATCTTTATGAGCTCCTTTTAAGCAATTTTTAAATCAATCAGGTACACTTTTTTTGCTATGATATTTTTTTACTACATTTTAACCTTCCCACATCTTAAGCGTTCATTAGCGGTGTTTAATTCATTTATAAATGCTAATACGAATAGCACTGCTTTAGATCAAAAGAAAATATAGAAAATCTGTGTTCCAGAATTATCTCATAAATAGAAATTGCTTTTATTGCAGAACTCCCATCCCCTACAGAGCACGAGGAAAAAAGCCCTCTCAACTTACAGAATGAAATAAAAAATAGAGAAAAATGCACCAGAAACTGTACTGATAATGAAGATAACACACTGGAAAAAGATTCAAAATCACTTTTAGATTAAAATTGGCACTGACCAATTAAAAGTTTAATGGTTGTTGTATAGAGCATATAACTCTTGGTTAATTTCATTCTTCTCCATTGCAATTGTTGAATTAAGAGTAAGTTTTGTTGCGAATCGTTCAGGTATGTGAATATACTCCATACATTCGGCGTCTCGACGCCACCAAGCACAATAAAAATGTCGACTTGGTATATCCCAGTGAACTTGAAATGAAAGACACTACAGAGTATGCAACATCTGTTTCATATTTTGATGTTTTACTGACTACAGACGGAAGGGCCAACTAACAACTAAATTGTATGACAAATGAGATGACTTCAGTTTTTCCATCTTCAATTTTCCCTATTTATGTACATGTAGTAATAATCCGCTATCACCTACTTATGGGGTTTACCTCTCCGAATTTATTCGATACTCAAGTGCCTGCTCTGAGTACGATCAATTTTTTTCCGAGGCAATCTACAGACAGCTAAGTTGATGTTACAGGGATTTCAACAACCTTAATTAAAGTCAGCAATTTTAATTCTATGGTCGTTATAATGACCTTGTTAACAAATATAACCTATCATTGGATCGTATTTCGGCCGACATGTTTAATACACATTGTTAAGCCTTTTTTATACTAAATTGGACTACCAAATGTTCCGTCTCCCAGATCAATGCATAGGGCTCGCAGCGAGTGTGAATGGTCAACAGGGTATCGATATACCCCCATGTATAAAATTAATCCCCTGTTGTGGCCCGACTCTAACGCCCGAATTCATGATTGCTGTACTTTTTGATATTGATAATGTAAAATTACATATATTCGTAGGGTGGGATTTTCGTGGTTTGATGAAAAACATGGGTTCGTAGGGATTTCATTTCGTGGATGAAGAATTGTTGAGTAGTTATGTATATGATATTTTTCATTTGTGGTGGACATGAAGTTGTGGGTCTCTTCATACCTCGAAAACAATTATTGAAAAATTAAACTTCCACGAAAATTAGTGATTTCACAGTGATTATATTTATGACAAATCATAAGTCTGTTTCTCTTGAATAGATATTTTCAGATTTTTACATTATATATTTTCACTGCGTGTCTGCATATATATATATATATATATATATATATATATATATATATATATATATATATATATATATATATATATATATATATATATATTCTATAGATGTTTTTAGATGAACTTGATATCGATGTAAAATCCTTATCTTTGGATTATTCGTAACTTTTAAGTATTTTGTCAACACGCATGGAAAAAAAATTGTAAGTTCCGTTCTTGATTCCAATCCTATGCTACCTTTTGATTTTCGTATCGCACTCTATCTTAAATAAGGGAACGTCTTCTTATCGATAAACCGTTCACGGTAGCTCAGTCGGTAGAGCGCTCGCTCCGTGATCGGGGGGTCGTGAGTTCGAATCTCGGCCGCGACTGACCTAAGTCGATAAAAAAAATGGGTAGCAACTGTTCCTTCGCCATGAGCTCGGCTTTTTGAAGTGAAAGTTGCGGGTCCTTCGGACGAGACCTTAAAAACCGAGGTCCCGTGTCACGGCAGGCGTTGGCACGATAAAGATCCCTCACTGCTCAATGGCCTTGAGTGCCAAGTAAAGGTCAAAATTTGAAGCCCTTCACCGGTATATGGTGACGTCTCTATATGAGTGAAAAATTCTCGAATGGGACGTAAAACAACATACAATCAATCAATCAATCTTATCGAAAATGACAAAATTATCAAGCATATTATTATATTCTTTGATCGATTATTAATATTATTTTTTTAAATATCGAGGAAGATCACTCTTTCCATTTTTTTTTCTTCTTTTTTTTTTATTAAATATATATTCATTTGTATAATATTATATAATATACACAGATAGTTCCAAGATAATATGACAATACACTTAATCAACTGATAAATAATATCAACCTAAAATGATACGTTAATTAAGATTGTTTAGTACACAGGGCGTATTACTCTTTCATCACACCAATTCAACTGTTTATACTACTATATTCAATAAGGAATAAATTATTAATAATGCCACCAACATCTGTATAAACCATATATGTATATATGCACAATACACAGTAATAGATACATAAAACTCAGAAAGTGAAGAAAAATTTGGAAAAAAGGAAATTTTATGCATATATAATTGATTGTTTAATTTTTTTATAACAATAGAAATATCATATACACATATACAAACATGACCCTTGTTACAGTGGGAATTTCTAGTAAAAAAAAAAAATGAGTCCATCACTCCCGCTGTAACTTGTATCGAGGGCCAGGTCACCCTCCAATACGGGTCTTTTTATGTTATAATGCTTAACAAAAACAATACTTAGAGTATTTTTAAAACAACAAAAACAAAACAAAAAGCAAAACAAATTTTCTGAATATATGTATAATTTTTTCACATTACATTTTACGGGGAAAAAATGAACTTAACATTCATTTTAAAATTATTTTAATCATAAAGTTTCCAGTTACTATTGTGTGTGAAAAAAATGACACAAGCAAATTAAAGTAACCTAAACAGTAACTAGTGTAGTAAGTGTGTCAGCTGATATTGACTATTACTAGTATTAGAAATACATAGGATTTTGAAAAATATGATTCATTTTCTCCCTTAATTGAAAATTGTAAAAATCATGTGATTGTAATAGGAAATTTGATTTCATTTCATTTTTAAAAGCAATTTTAATACTTGAGTCATTTACTTTTAGATTCTCATATTTAACTTTATTTCTTGTTTTCCATATGACCCATCTATAGATATATATTAAGGTATTAACAAAAGTTCTTGGAATTTGCGGTTCCTTCAAGTACCCTAATATTATTGTTTGCTCATCAACTGATAAAAAACCCTTCAGTTGTAACACATTTTTAATTATGTCTTCTACTAACTTAAGTGTTTGTTTAACTTTTGTGCAATGAAAATAGAGGTGTTGTTGATTTTCCCTATGGTTTTTACACAAGTTGCATAAACCATTGGAAAGTCCGATTTTACTTAATTTATCTTCAGTATACAATATATTATGCACACTTTTCCATTGGAATTCTTGAATTTTATTTTTTTACTTTTACTCTTGAAATACTAGTACTGTCCCAAACTAAATTCCACTGTATGTTATTTTGATATATTTTTTTCCCATTTTTCTTGACTTTTTGGAATTTTTTTCTTGCTTAATATTTTTTCTATGTTTTTTTTAACTTGAGATCATCATTATTTACCACTTTATTAGTACCTCTTTGAATGAGTAATTTATTATTCAATTTATAAGGGAGTTTTATTTCGTTGTTGGATATTAAGTTGTTTCTTTTCATTATTTGATAAAAAGATTTAGGAATGGCTGCTTTTATTTAACTATATTCAAAAATCCAGCATCTTTTGTCTAATAATTCATTAAAAATAGTGTCATTGTATTTAAAACAGTTTTTCTCATCATTCCAAATGTCTTTAATTTGAAAAAAAAAAACTTCTAATAAATGATTCAACATATAGGGCTTTCCCATTAAATTGTATAAGTTTATTACCGAACAGAGAGAGATTGAGTATTTCTTCTCGACTTTCTGGCTCAAATTTTGACTGAAATTCGCTATATGCGATAAGTGCTTTTTTTTATGAAAACTATACATTTTATTTAAGGAAATTTGAGATAAATCAGAACAAGTCCATAAGTAATATTCTTGATTTAGATGTATATTTTTACTCTGCAACTAGTACTTACCAATTGCATTCTATGTTTCTAACTTTGAATGCATAATTTTTTTTATTTGTTTACTTTTTATAAAATTAAATATATTTGTCATATTCATTCCTCCTTCATGCTTGCTTAAGCAGCACACATTTCTGTCTATTTTATTCAATTTATTATCCCAAATAAAAGACCAGATAATGTCGTTTATTTGTTTGGCATAAATATCTGGATTTCCTCTGGATTTCCTCTCATTTCTATTTCATAACCAATAATTGGAATTATCAAATTCTTTATTATCAAAATTTTCCCTTTAAACGTAAGGTTTCTAGTTTTCCAGACATGCAAACTGTTCATATTTTTTTTTTATTTTTTCCAACCATATTGCACAATTATCGATATTATATCCATGATGTACCCCTAAAGTTTTTATGTTAGTTTTTATCCATTGGATTTTTTTAAATTTTGGTATTTTACCCTTTGATTTTCCGATAAACAACCCTTTAGTTTTTAAAAAGTTGATTTTTGCCCCTGAAGCTCTTTCATATACTTCTAAAATATGAAAGGAATTTATTATAGATTCTTCATCTTTATTAAATAGCTGTGTGTCATCGGCGAACATATTCATTTTACACTCTATATGTTGATCTTTTCCAGAAATTAAGATGCCCTTTGTCTGAGGATTTGGTCTGATTGCACAAGCCATAGGCTCTATTTGAAGCACGTAAAGTAGGGGAGCTATAGGGCAACCTTGCCTAGCTGATCTTGATATTGAAAAGTATTTTGATACAAATCCATTTGTTTTAATGCAAGTTTTTGATTTTATTTTTATCCATTTACAATATTTTTCACCAAAGTTAAATCTCTGTAATGTGGCTTCTATCCACCCCCATTCTATCCTATCAAAGGCTTTCTGTTGATCCAGAAATATTATTGCCCCTTCTAAATCTTCTTTTTCTGCATAATCGATTATGTCTTGAATAAATCTATTTGCATCACTTATATTTCTACCCATAACAAAACCTTTTTGATCTGGGTGAATTAATTTTGGCAATACAACCTTTGACCTCTCAGAGAGTATCTTAGCAATAATTTTATAATCGTTGTTAAGCATAGTTAAAGGTCTCCAATTTTTGACATCATCTCTTTCATTTACTTTATGTATTAATGAAATAACTCCTTTAGTTTGCGAGTCACAGAGAAAATATTTTGAAAAATATATTTTATTACCTTTGAAAATTCAATTTTAATTGTATCCCAATATAATTGATAAGAAGTTGACAGTATTCCATCTTCCCCAAGTGATTTATTTGGTTTTAATGACATAACTGCTTTGTAGATCTCGTGATCAGTTATATCGCTGTCAAGCAACTTTACGTCACCCTCATCTAATTTACATTGTACTGTCTCTAATAATAAATTTCTGCTTTCTCTATCCCAACCCTCAGTATGTAGTAATTTGTAATAAAAATTTATTTGCTCTTCAATTATTGAGTCAATGTCAGTTTTATAAGTGCCATTTTTTGCTTTAATTCTAGTCCACAATTTTTTCCTCCGTTATTTTTTTCTAATTGAAAGAAATATTTAGAAGGCGCTTCTCCTTCTCTAAAACCGTTCACGGTAGCTCAGTCGGTAGAGCGCTCGCTCCGTGATCGGGAGGTCGTGAGTTCGAATCTCGGCCGCGACTGACCTAAGTCGATAAAAAATGGGTAGCAACTGTTCCTTCGCCATGCGCTCGGCACTTTGAAGTGAAAGTTGCGGGTCCTTCGGATGAGACCTTAAAAACCGAGGTCCCGTGTCACTGCAGGCGTTGGCACGATAAAGATCCCTCACTGCTCAATGGCCCTAAGTGCCGAGTAAAGATCAAAATTTGAAGCCCTTCACCGGTATATGGTGACGTCTCTATATGAGTGAAAAATTCTCGAATGGGACGTAAAACAACATACAATCAATCAATCAATCCTTCTCTAAACCACCTACATTTAGATCTTATAATTGCAGCTTCTGTATAAATGTCTTTAATTTTTTGTTCAAGATCGTTTTGATACTTTTTATCATTTGAAGGACTATTTTTAATCTTTTCTAATTCTTTTTCTAATTTTGCAAGTTTCTGTTTATTAACATTTAATTTTTTTGACATCTCAATACATAATATTTTTATTTTATATTTTGTTAAGTCCCACCAATGTAGAATATCCTGACAATTGTCTAAGCTTTTCTTGTATTTTTCCCAAAAATCAACAAAAGTTTTTCGGAAATCTTCATTTCTTATAGTTTTTTCATTC